AATGATTGCCAATCACTTCTAAACCGACACTAATTCATGAATTCAATATTTAGATTAGTTAAGTACAGCTTTGAAAGAATTCAAAACACAAAAGAACTATTAAAGGCAGTGTTACGTTGCTTCCAAATGTCGATTTTTTTTAGAAAAGCGTAATATCTCGAAAACGAAAAATTGTTTAAATTAGGTAAACTTCGTTTTTAGGTGTATAGACTGTCTTCTCATGCATAAGACGTAGTAACTATGAAAGTAAAAATAAAATAAGGTTTTAAAAAGTGTAACAGTGAAGTTTACATCTAAATGTTTTCTAAGAATTAGTGTAATTTCATATATGGCGGTTTGTCAACAGCCTACATTTTGAGTATAGATACCAAAACAGTCTTTCAGGGATTTTTGGTATTCTTGACTCGTTTGAGTTGGATGAATTGCGGTTCAACAAAAGAAACGGAATTTTGCTCGATTTAACCAGTGGGGACTTTGTAGGAACAAAAGTTTTCATAGGGCCACATGCTGCCAGGCCAATGGGCGCCTAATGAATTTAAATAGAACTGACAGGCATGATCGTATACAAACCATATTTTTTAGAGAAAACTTTAGTTTCGTTAACTTAATTTGCACTTTTCGTTCGTTTCAGATCAGCCTAGAAATATTGATGAATACTTTATCATTTCTAGTGTTTTCTCCCGATCGTCCATAAAGACAGATTCTGTATTATCCTTCTGTTAAATACTTTGAAATAAGATACTACTTGAATACATTTACCGAATCAGTGAGTGTTTGGGCGTTCGTTTTCATGAGGAAGGTTGTTTAGGTCATAGTTGAAAGCTCATACAGACATGGAACTTCATTTTCGAATAAAATGGCCGTCCACAACGAAAGACAGCGACGAATATGCTTCGATCAATCAAAAAACTTTCTTTAATAAGTTACCTCTTCTAGAAGTGCTTTCATACTGTACGCCGTTGACAGATCTCTGTGTACTTTGCATTTTTGCACGGCGAGGCCTAGAAAATATTTGACACTTTTGGCCACATTTTCACTTTCCTAAACAATACTAATATTTTTCTACCGTAAACGCAAGAACATAACTTTTTATATATATCGCGGCCAATTGACTTTTAGATTCCGTTTTCGACTATGAATGCATGGTAGAGTGCCCATATAAATACTGATATATTTCCGAGATTATTAATGTTTTGTTCCTACCATTTTTGAAAAAGTTATGTTCAGAAGCTAGGCTACATGACAAATAATATTTCATATTCATTAATATTTTGGCAGATTTTGAATAATTCATACTGACCCAACTGTGAAAAACTCGGCGCCTCGGTGGGATTCGAACCCACGCAGTAAGGGGGAAGGTTTTAGTACAGCCAACGCTCTAACCACCTGAGCTACGAGGCCCCGCCGGACGACGCGAGTTTTATCACACTTGGGTCAATGAATTACGTGAGCCTAGTAGTCATCTGGACGATTCTAGGTGAATTACTTAGGAAATCCTGCTTGGGCAGTCAACTTACTGTATCAGATTTGGTAGATTCCAGACGTTGCAGTAGGTTGGGCGGGTAACTTGACCCAAGTGTGATAAAACTCGCGTCGTCCGGCGGGGCCTCGTAGCTCAGGTGGTTAGAGCGTTGGCTGTACTAAAGCCTTCCCCTTACTGCGTGGGTTCGAATCCCACCGAGGCACCGAGTTTTTCACAGTTGGGTCTATATGAAATATTTCTTATGTTCAAAACTGCAAATGACCATTCGGTGGTGGTCATTTATGGGACATCACGGAAAGTTTTCCAAACTACGAAACAATTTCAGCTCATTTAAACAAAGGAATCCCTGCCTGCGTTATTACAGCATTTCAGGGCATCAAATAGCACAGATTTTCTAATGTGACTTCTAAGAATTTATAGAACATCTGTTTCTCTAAAAATAACCTTTCTGTTAGCAAGCTGATAACCACGGTTTGCATCAATCATAAAATAAATTTTCACGTCCGGCAACCTCTGCTAATTAAAACTCTTGTGGGTAAATAACCCTACTTTCAATGAGAAACGCGCTTAAGTGCGCAACTGAAGTCTAGGACATACATTAGCATAGGAAATTGCACGAATATTTTGAAACGTCCATTTTCGATAAAATCTATTAGTATTTTGATGGATATATTTACGTAAACACAATTTGTGCAGAAGAAAAGGATTTCGGTGAGCTGCGGTTATGTAGCCCCACCGGAAGTAAACAAACCCCAACCACCTGTAAAACGGAACCAGTGGTAATAGAGGTTTTTACAGATGGGGCCGGGGAACGTACAGGCGACGAGGTCAAGTAGTTGCATGCAAAAGAAAAGCTATCGGCAATGCGCGGTTTAACTTTGGGTGGTTGAGAAATAGTTGTCCAACCCCCCCTTATTATAACCCCAAATCCAACGGTCTTGTGTCCATCAGGTGAGGCTACACAACAACATCTTACCGACATTTCATCGAAGGAGCCAGATGAGTAAGTAAAATGCGCAAAGTTAAAGACTCCCAGCAATTTTCATGTAAGTTTCCGTGATCAGGTTTCGTAAAATAGGTCACGTGCTGTGTCGGGTTATACTGAGACTTGCAAATTGCTTGTAGGTAATGCGTATCATACTCGTAAAAAGGTGTTTTATGCCAACCTCCACTGGGGAACGGGTAGACAGTTTAAAACGTCCGGGGTATCTGTTTCTAACATAAATTGCACTGATGGCAACCACATGCAAGAGACTGTTACCTGGAAATTTTCTTTAAATTCAAACACTACCAGGTATAAACGTAATGTCAGGTTAGTTTTCATTGTTATATGGGGGTGACGTAGTCTACATTTTTGAACTCAAGGAAAGTCTAGGTGGGAAACATGTGTCACGAAGGCTCCTTAATTTACAGTGCCCTGGACAATCTTAATTACAGGCTTTATCTAATGTTATTTATATATTTTACTCGACCCAGCACTCGGTCAATTCGCCATCTGTCATTATCAGTTTGTTTATGCGACAGGAAGGACGGTCACCACCTGAATGCCTCCGTTAGGCCCGCTGGCACAAAAATGTCAGAACGAGGGAGTTTGCATGTGTGTAAGTATTCATGCACAGTTGTTCCCTTTGTACTTCACAGTATTTTGGCAGCAGCAAAGAAGCTCCGGTTAAAGTAGGGCCAGCGAATGTCGCAACTGCTGTGTCGGAAATACTTGTGATGCCTTCACGTAGGTAGGCGACGTGCGGCCACAAATCCGAGCAACTCCAGTCCTTAGACAAAATCTGCGTAGGCGTGAACCGAGGGAATCGCGCCTATCTCCAGGAGGCTTTTGAAAAAAATAGGTTTTAGTTTGTTGGAGAAGGGAATATTTAATGGATGGAAAAATCAAAATGCAGAAGCGAAAGGGAAGAGCTGGTGAGCAAGTTAGGGGAGAAAGGGGAAAGTGGGTAAACCGGTCAGTAGGATAAAAGCGTTCTGTCACAGCATATGCTATATCTTGGCAGCCGTCCAATCGTAACCAATTTGTGGAACCAAAACCCTGAAATTTTATTTACTTGTTTGCTGTGGATAAATGACATTGGAGAAGAGAGAAAACACGGATGGGGGCGAATATGCGAATCCCAGGCTCTTGTTGTAAAGAAGATGAACACACGATCTCTGGGACAGAAGTGCAGAGGATGGTATTCGCGATATGCTGAGTCCCACGCCGAATACCACCCTCTGCATTCATATTTCCCCCCCCCCCCCCTTCGTGGCTTGACTACAAAAACTGCTCATTTGATGTCGCATTCTCACAGGCCCTGACGATGGCCTCCTGGACGTGACCGAAAGCTCAGACTAATACCCCTTTCCGTTTAAGAGATCGTGTGTTCATCTTCGTTACAGAGAGAAAGCAAGGCGGGGAGACCAACAGAATGGCCGACCCCCTCGCAGTTATGTATGTCCTGCTTCAATCGACAATCGACATGCCAGATGTCATGGCTTTGAGACAATAACTGCGTTGGGAAATCGCTTTTTGCATATATCACTGTGCATTTGAACTGTGCATTCTATGTAGTTATTTATATGAAGTGCATGATAATTGACTAAAATAATTTGAGTCACAGCTGACAGAAAATACTTTGACAATGATAGTTCAAGTTAGCTCATGCTCACAGATGCAGTTATGAACATTAAGGCATTTATTGAAGAGTTTTTTACTTTTTCAAAGAACTCTTCACAGCAAAAAGTCTCGTCAGTGTGATGTGATTCCGACTCATGTTGACAAATGTATCAGCAACACAAATTATCTGATGACGTCAATGTCGTCGAAAATAGAAACTTCCACCAATTTCTAAAGGGGCATTTGCTCAATCCAATGCTGAACCGAACCGCTTTTGACGATAACCTACTAGCAATTCATAATACACCGTGGATGCACAAACCTTATCGGGAATTTACATGAAAAGACCCATTCATAAAATTTACTGAGGATATGCCTTTAACTGTGGTAGTTAAACATAAATGCAACGAATAATACCGATTAAGTCGCTCGTCAATGGGATGAGTTAACAAGTAAATGCGAGTTATAATTTTCAACGGTAATTCAAGATAAGCGACGACAGTTTGGCCATTGTTAACGAGGTCGGATGTGGTTTGGTAGCCCCACCTGAAGTAAACAAACCCCAGCCACCTCTAATACGGGACCGGTGATAATCGAGGTTTTTGCAGGTGGAGCCGGGGAATGCACAGGCAACGAGGTCAAATAGTTGTATGCAAAATAAAAGCTATTGGGAGTGCGTGGTTGTACTTTAAATGGCTGAGAAATAGTTGCACTAACCTCTAACCCTAACCCCTAACTATAACCCCTAATCCTAAACCCCAACTCCTAACCCTAAACTCAAATCCTAAGCCTAACCCCTAACCACAACCCCCTTACCCGTAACCATAACCCCTAACCCTAACCCTTAACTCCAACCCAAACAGTACTTTGTCCATGGGGTGGGGCTACCAAACCATATCTTACCATTAATGATCATGTCCACCGTGTGCCCCACGGCATGGTGGGCGCAGAGACGGCGACTTGCGATTGAATTAGTTCACATCGATAGAGGATTTGAGCAACATCTTCCGCGTTCTCACTCTCCCCACCACAAGTGTCAGGAGGCATTGAGATGGAATCGGACTCAGTGGCTGCCAAAGCTAAAGTGTGGACAGGAACAAGGAAGCGGCTCGAATCCAGCTGAGTGGGACTGTCCGATCCTCCGTCCTGACGGGAGAACCAAGTTATCCCGTCAGATGGCAGCTTCCTAGGCGTGATTTGCAGCACACCGTGGCAGTTTAAAGCCCCGTCACCTTGTTTACAGTGAGGAATATGAGTTGAGTGCCGTAGCGACGCAGTCCCCAGAGTCAACCCTTTTCCCTCTGACGGGTACCGGTCCACTGTCTGAGCCAGTCAGTGCTCTAAAGCGGGAATTGGGCGCAGGTGGTCAACAGAGTTACATAACCCGTCTGCGCGCGCTACACACGACCTGGACCCCGCAGAGTAAGCCCGGATTACACACATAGGGACTACTAATCTCTGATCTCACACGAGTTAGAGTGCCATAGAGGTCGCGTAGGGAAGGAACTAACGAGTACCATTCCAATTTACGCGCGAGTTGTCTATTCCAGGCCTGTGGTGAGTAATTGAGACAGGGTCGGCAGGTGCTCCTGGCACTGGCTCTCTAGTCTCAGTGCGATGCATTTGCAGGTACCGACCAGACCGATGCGTGGGGCGAATGTGCAGTGGTAGTATAGGTAGAATAGGATGGAGCTGTTCTGTCCGTGGCGGTAGAGATACCAGTGGAGGGGGAGTTGATAGTGTTGGTAATGGGAACGTTGTTGGATGTGTGAGGTGGGTCTAACGTGTCGACTTAGCGGTGAATTCCACGTCGTGTATGCGCATGTGGCCGAATAGACTCATGCGGTGACTGGATGTGCGTGGGATATGTGAGCTGTGGGGGCGGTTGTGGCGGGTGTATGCCAGGGTTCCAGGCAGTGGTTCGATGGCCTCAGGGAGATAGATTCGCAAATGACAAACCAGGCCATTGCGTAAGGGCGCGAACGCAGTGAGGACAGGTTGGACTGGTACCAGTGCTGGTGGTGGGAGTGGTTGTGGTGATAGTGATGGTGTTGAGGTTGGTGGTTGACGGAGCGTCGGGAGTGTCCTTACCAGTATTGGGAGTGGGGGGAGCGGTAGTTTTCGTCGTCGTCGTTGCGAGGGCTGTGATAGCGGCGAAGGAAGTGGTTATGGACAGCAGCGGCGACGAAGCATCGGGAATTTGTTCACCAGTGGCGATGGTTGCCGTCGCAGGCGGCATTGCAGATCACCTTTGTTACCAACACACATGGTAGTCTCACATACGGGAAAGGGCGTGGCCAAACAGTTACGAGCACCGCAAGCGGATGCATCCACATGGGCGACCGAGGACGTCTAGCACGACTGAAAAGATGACGGTCCATATTTGGCGTCATGGTGTCTACGCGGTGACTTTGTAGTCCGGAGTATGCAGTTCCTCCGCGCGAGCGGTCAGCTAATTGTAGAAATCTGGACGGCGTGCAAGGACATTCAACAGAACAGTATTTACCTCATCTAAGGACCGCCAATTTTGTGGGCTTCTGCAGGGATGGAGACGATCTTTCACCTTGCAGACGAGGAGGGAGTGTCTGTCCAGCCGTCAGTATCGCAAATCACCTTTATGACCAGCACATCATGACGGTCTCGCCTCCAGACTAGAACGTAGTGCAACAGTTGCGAGTGCCGTGAGTGTGGATGCATCCATGTAGCCTTCTCCCACGTCGGAAGGCAGAAGAGGCTTTTGGTGATGAGGAGGATGAGGCGATGGTCCGCGCAGGTGCGAGGAAAGGGAAGTCAATTTGGCTGCAACTGTCGATTCCGTGTGGACTCAGCACTTCCTCCCGGGAATTATGGCCTGTCCTAAAGGGGACATTGAAGTTACCAAAGTCAATCGGTTTGTCGCTCTTGGGTGAGTCTTCAGGAGTCTTCGTGTCTTCAGGTGAGTCTTCGTGGAACTTGTTCTTCGCCTCGTCTGAGCTGGTCATTAGGACGCCGTAGACA